GGGGGGGGGGGGGGGGGGGGGGGGGGGGGGGCGTTAACCAGTAGACTAGGAGTAATTCAGGACGTTGTCACCCCAGAACCCCCAGCCCGGTCCCCCAGTGCGGAGGCTGCGTCCCCGCCGTGTGCACGACCCCGCAGTGCACTCGCCACCAGCGCGTCAGCAGGTGCCCAGCAGACGTCCTTCTCGGGCTGAAAGACCCGTAAACAGAGCGGCGTGCAGAACTGACACGCATCTTTAGGACAGAAGAAGGGACTTCCAATAGCAACACCTACATACCTGTTTAGGGACACTTCCCCTAGGGACACTTCAAAGGGACACTTCCCTTTGAAAAGCACTCCCTTATTACCTTCGATTAGTTTAGTGAACTGGGTTTTCAAACACAGTCACTAACAGGCCCATTCAGTAAATGTTACCGCGTCACGTAACAAGAAGTCTGCTGGAGGTTGGTGGAAATCCCGGCCTGATGACGGGACTCAAGGACGTCACGAAGGACTGTCCTTCCATCTCCCCATCCTGCCATCTCCCCCTGTGGGGTGTCCTCCCCAGGCTTGTCACTTCATTGTTACAAGATGGCCCTGTCATCCGAGCTAAGCAGCCGCACTCACCTGTTTTAAATGTGCTCCTCTTGCAACTTTTTGACTAACTAGGTCACCTGGTTATCCTTTTCTGGTGCAGGGGAGGGAAAAATGACTCTCCATCGTAAATAGTAGCATGTAACATTTAAATACAAGATCTAAGGAAAGGCACGGCAAAAAACTTTGAAGAGCTTTCTTTTAAAAGTTTTTTTTTTTTTAATGGGAACAAAATAAACAAAAGGAATTGGACAATATATTTTAAAAAATAGACAAAAGTTACAAGAGCTGCAATAAAAACAACAGCTCCTAATTAATTTCTTGGCTTAGATAGTAATAGGAGTCTTTTATTCTAACTGCTCATAGTTTGTAAGCTAATTTTATAATTATCATAAACCCAAAGGATACCATGTATAATGAAAATAAAAGAAAATAAAAACTATTGTGTAAAGGCCAACTCGGTTCTACGTTTTCTAGCTTTTTTCTAGAGGTGTCTTTAGAAATCACCATACAAGTACTATGGGGATAAGGTTATGGACTGAATTTTTATGTACCCCCCAAAATTCATATGTTGAAATCTTAGCCCCCAATGTGATTGTAATAGAAAGTGGAACCTTTAGAGGTGATTAGGCCATGAGAGTGGAGCCCACATGAATAGGATTAGAGTCCTTATAAAAGAGACTCCAGAGAGCTTTCTATTTCTCTTTCCATAACACAAGGATACAAGAAGACAGCAACCATGAACCCAACCATGGAGGCACCCTGATCTTGGACTTCTAGCCTCCAGAATTGTGAGAAATAAATGTCTGTTGTTTATAAGCCACTCAGTCTATGGTTCTCTATTATAGTAGCCTGAACTAAGACAGATAATCAGCAATTTTTGGTTATTTTCATCACCAAAATTTTAATGATATCATTCTGAAGAATTCACATTAACAACTCTCTTATCCTCCTAAAAATATCACTCAAATACTGAGTTACATTTATGGTTGCCAATGTTAACTTTTTTCCATCAAGGAACACTAGCAATTTCACTTTGTGCCTTTGATACAAAAGCATTTCCCAGTCCAGCAGGTTTCATCTTCCTGCATAGATGGCAAAAGTGTAATACACTTCCCTGTCCTTTCTGCATCCCAATTTCCTGCTCATCTGAAAAACAGGAATAAACTCTAACTCAGGAAGGTATTAGAAGGATTATAATCAGTATGAGATATAATACTTAAATTATCAAAGCAGTAGTTGGCACATGGCAGACATTCAACAGAAGCTGTCATACTATGTTATTTTTATTATTAATATTAATACTACTATTGGCATTCAAATTCTTAGGCCATATCAAGACTTTTCCATCTTTTACGAATGGTATAAATTACTATAGTATCTTAATACTTTAGTATAATATCGAAGAGTCTAGTGCTTGAGCTATGCAAACATTAAACTTTCCTTCCAAGACCATAGACTATGGAATATACTGTTCTTTCTTCTCCTGGGTAGAATTTGAGTCTGTAAGGAAAGAAGTTTTCACCTACAGCAGACAGTGCCAGCTCTCCTGGTGTGAGGGATTCTGGATGATGGCTGCTCATTTCCATATTCATGACTTTTATAAACATGGTCTCAAATAAATGCCAGCATACACTTGAATGAGCTCATTTGTTTTTGAGCAGAGGGATAATATGGCCCCAAATAATGTGCATCCCTGTCTGCCAGGACAGTTACTTCCT